AAGGATATCTTCGCGACCGATAAATCCCTTGTTCTGGGAATAGGTGACCATCCAGGGAACAGGCGACATCTCTTCTCTAGCTGCCGTAGCTAGTAATTTCTTGATATTAGTACAGAACTGGTACACACAAGTGGGGTGAAAAATAAAATACATACCAGTGCTACTAAGCCCACCCCCTGCATCAGTCCCCACACAGTTCACGATTGTACTTTGGTTGATTACTGTGCTATTCTTTGTAAACCTTTTGTTCCCATCCCCATAAATGTTATCGCTACCAGAATTATTACTAAAGTTCCCTTCGGCATTGTGATGTCCAATACTAGGGTTGATACCGTCTATATCATGGGCGCCCTGGTTACCTTCTCTCGTCCTAGATTCTGCTCTGCGATCGGGGTTTTCCTGGACCCCATTTAGAATATGGTTTCCGGTATAGCCTTCCCGTTCGCCAGGCGGTCCACTGTGGCGGTCTGGGCTGTGATGTCGATGCGCATATCCGACTGCAGCTGTATCCAGCAAAGGCGGGCTGTGACTTGCGCTCTGAATTCTATCCTCCACTCGAGCCTTACGACTTGACCCAGGTCTAACGACCACAGAACTGCTATTGTTAGGGCTACGTATAGGGATATCCGGAGCTCCAGCTGTCCAGGGCCTGCCCGTTGTTCCCCCATTACCGTTATTAAGATGGCACGCTTCTTCCGGGTCCTGGTAACCTCCTACCCTCCCTCTAGTGATCTCCACATTTCCGTGGCTTTGCGGGTCTTCTGGATAATTGCCTCGACTCTGGCTCGGTGCCCCACTGCCGACCCCACTCCCCTGCCTTGAAACGCTTTTCCCGGGACCCCCCCCTGCATACATGTTTGCTGAAATGGGGCTCTTTGTAGTACATGCGCCACTACCGCTGCTGTCTGCCATTTCCCGTCCATCATCCTCCAATTGGCTCTCCCCATTCCTGCTTGCCGAATCGGGGCTCCCCCAGGCGCGTGTGCTACTACCGCTGCCGCCCGTTATTTCCGCATCATCCTCTGACTGGGTCTCCGCATGGCTGTTTGGTGAGCCGGGGATCTTTTGAGCACGCAGGCCACCACCACTGCGGGCCACCTCTCCCGGTATATTACCTGGCGACCGACCCTCCACACCGCCGCCTGCCGGATCGGACATCCCTTGAGTGCGCGCACTAATGCCGCTCTCGGCCGCCATTCCCAGTCCGCCATCCCTTAGTTGACTCTCGGCAATGTTGTTTGCTGGGCTAGGGTTATTTTTGATGCGTGCGCTACTACCGCCGTCGGTGGCCGTTCCCGGTCGATCACCCCTTAGTTGACTCCCCGCAATTTTGTTTGCTGGACCGGGGTTCTTTTTACGGTGTGCGCTAGTGCTACTGCTCGACACCACTCCTGGTAGACCATCCTTTCGCGGCCTCTCAGTATTTCTGGTTGCTGGACGGGGGTTTCTCGGAGAGCATGCTCCACTGCCCTTGTGGCTCACTGTCCCCGGTCTATCATCTCCTAGCTGATGCTTCGTATTTCCGTTTGCTGGGTCGGGGCTCTCTTGGGTGTGTGCGCTACCGGGGTCGCTAGTAGCCTGTCTTGGTGCCAGAGCACCCCCGGGCCGCCCACGATCGTTGGGCTGGGTTTTTCTGAAGATGGACAAACTTTAGCGGCCCAAAACTGTGCATTGCAGCAAGGAATCGATACTCACTTCTTTTTCCCAAAACACATTACAACGCCGGTGTCAAGCTCCTATGACTGCAGTTCCTTACGTCGGCAAAACCCGAATCACTTCTTCAAATAGTGTCAACTCACCACAAGGAATATGGACCAGGCATACCGGTATTAGAGCAAAGAGTTATCGCAATCGAAGATAATCAAGATGCGAGCGGCGGCAAGGGCAGGAGAGGGGATGGATAACCCATTGTAAACGGGGTGATAAAATTTTAGCCCGGGGCGCGCGGGGCGACTGAATGCCACGTCAAATTCCGTAAATGGATCCAAATGTGTGGCAGGACTACAACTCAGCCCTGCTAGACATGTAAGCGAGAAAGAAGGCTGCTTAAATTCAGCAGCATGAAGCTAAGCTTTGTCTCAAATAATGGGATATGATTGGCCCGTGTGGATAATGCTCTTGACCCGAGCCTGAAGTCTGAAGTGTGAAACGAGCTGGCGGCTACGTCAATTGAATGAGACATACCCTATTTCTTCCCCACCCACAATCAGCGACAGGGATCGGTAAATCTCGCTAGCCGATAGAATGATATTCCATGAACAGACCAAAGGGTAAGTGTTACAGAAGGAGGGCAGGCTTTCAGAGTTGCGGGAACGGGTGTCAAGAGAAGAAGCGGTGGTGAAGGATATGGTTGGTGGAGGGGCAGAAGATGGGGAGCTCCCTCGCTTATACAACCCGGCAGCCTTACGCGCACTTCATTACAAAGCCATCAAATCACACAATTTCTACGGTAGAGTCTACCGTACTCGGCTGCGCAAGTGTACTAGTATTTAGTCGTAGCCATCGTGGCAGCATTCCACTGCTCCTTGGGGTGATTCTTGACAAGGATTAAGGACATGTGCAAGGGATACAACCCTCAAATCACCAGCAGACCATCATATCATCCCATCGGCCACTGCTCGAGTAAACCCCCAGGGCCCCAACCACCAGGTGGCAATCGAAAGGCTTGCCAGCTTCCAGGAACATTTGTGCCTTATCCTGCTGCGAGTCGACCCTCACTCGCTCAGAGCAAGGGTTATGGAGATCTGCCCTGTTGGGTCCTCACATGCCTTGGCGACAGTTCTGAACCTCCCCACACGTCGGCAAATATGACACCGCAGAAAAAAGAAAAGAAAAAAGGAATTATGATGCACTGCCCGAGTACCGGTACCTCTGCATGTACCGTACTGTAATCCCTGGTCTCAGAGATAAGATCAGTCCCATTAAGTTGAGCGGTATTCTCAATCCTCCCACCCTATCAAACTAAACCAATCACGGGTTGACGGGTTGATTTCCGTTGGCAGTCCAGTGGTGGATTGCCATAGTTTTTATTGTCGGTATACCGGTAGTGCTCGAGTAAAAGTACAGTGGGGTAGACTCACTTAAACTCGCCCTGGTTAATTTCTGATAACCCCTAAGTATATGCGGGGGTGCCCGGGAGGCAGCGGTGTAGGCAGCTACTGGTTCCCGAGATCTATAATACTGTAATCCCTGGCTATAGACGACGGGTGCACTCCGCGCTTAGGGTGGGCGGATGAGTCTGTCGAGCTTTGGCCCGTTCATTAAAATTACTACATGTGTAACCGTTTCTCCCCCAGCTACTCGGCTACTCCACGCCAATTTTTGGTGTTGGGAAAATGTCTGTCGAGCTCTACAAGTCGCCCAATGGCTGTAGAGAACCCCATCCTCTCGTGTGCGAGAGGCGATAAAGCCAATCAAAGGGGCTCGGCAGACCTACCCTTGATACCCTAAGGACCGTTGCTGCCAAGGCATAACCAGTACGGTATCACAAACACCTCGAGTGTGCTAGTATCCGTACTCGAGTACTGCACGAGCAATACTGGTACGATATGCAATCAGACCCCAGCAGCCGGGAAGTAAACAATCAAAGGATTTAACAAAAAAAAAACCCAGCACCGGGGATGCTGTTATGAGCGACTTAGCCGCCCCCAACAGCCCCAATCCTCCGACACCCGGGGCCCGGGACTCCGCAGTGACAGAGAAAAATACCAAAACGGATGTACGGTACTGATTTTCTCACCGGTGGGTGAGAATGAAGGATAGCTCAACACGCGAGCTCGTTTGGGTAGAGGGTAGACTTTTTGGGTAGGATTTCCGTATAGATTTACCCGCACAGGGCGCCACAAAGCGTGTTTCGGGAGACTTTTTCCATTTATTTAGGGTAACCAACCGAGGGGGTTGCCGTAGTTTGCGGGGAAACTTGAGCCTCACCTTATTTTAACCTCAGGTGTCGTGACTTGAAAAGATCTTGGCGGGGGGAGATTTTTTTCCTTCCATTTTTCCTTTCGTCCAACCGACATCACTACGAGTGCGGCCGATAAATATATTCGTCACGTGCCTTATCTAAGGACACATCGCAGCCAAAAGGTGCACCGAAATTTTCTTATCAGACTCACGTGACGAATATATCTACCGGCCGCACTCGTACTCGAGCGCCGGTGGCAAATTTAAGTGGCTGTTCGACGGGCCACCGGTGATGTGGCGCCCACTGTTCGGAGGCTGGCTAATCATGGCCCTGAAAAGAGATTACCCGAGCAATGTTCTGGGGCATGCGGTTTCAAACAACAGCTTGGGGATACCGGTACTCCATCTCGCCAAACAACCCGTAATCCCATCGAAATAATACGGTATTATAATTGGCCGAGTCACGGCAAAGACACCTATTGCGATTTCCCCCCGTTTCCCAAGGTTTTCAACCAACGGCAGGGTCTCCTTTGCACCTTGTGATCCCACTGGAAATACCGTACCCGATGACCCAGGATGGGATACGAGTATCATGCTGGTACGATACGGGTACCACTCCCCTAGTTGTCCTTGTGGCGAGCCAAATCACGTGCGACGGTAGTGGTTCGGACAAGGATTGACTATCCTGCGGGCCATACCCCTTGTGGGTTGTCGATAATGACGTAGTTTACACGAGCCGCCAGGGGTTACGGCGATTGAGCGTGATTCTCTCAGGAGGGTTTTCGCAGGAACCCACGGATACATGAAAGGATCGAGGTTAGAGTAGGAAGCTTAGAGCGAATCGAGCCAGCAATAAAATAAGGGTGGGGGTGTTTCTGCTCTAGGAATAATTGAAGCTCAATTCTTGCATTTAATCGGTAATTTTGGACCGGCTGAGGCACATGGCTCTCCCCGGGACGTGCACTTGTGGGCTGATTCGGCATATCGTACGTCCCTGCTACGGGTACTCGTGGGCAAATATGGCATGCGATATACCTATAAAAAACCCCCCTCCCTTCCTCCTCATCTCACTTCCTTCCGATTCCCCTTTTTCCTTCATCCTCCATCCTTCACCAGCTTCCTCTCAAACAAAGCACTCATTCTCACTAGCAACGACAGCGTCCCAAAATGAAGCTCTCCATCACATGCCTCGCTCTCCCTCTCCTGTCTATCGTCGCTGCCGTCGCGGTCTTGGACAAGCGCGACCCGCTCCCTGGAAAATTCACCCTCGAGGCTAGTGATCAGGGTCTACCAGGTGTAATCTGGACCGAAGTCCACTGGCTTACCGGCTCCGCCTACATCGGAAACAGCAAGTTCAATTTCGGTAGCGAAAAGCTAGAATTTACGAGCGGTGGTGAAGGGCTATCTTTCACCTCCTTCCACTCGAGCCCCACGGGGTGGACCGACTTTTGGATCTTTCCGAGCGAGAGTCGGGCCGTGGGGTTTACCACCCCGCACAGCGGATGGGTGCCACCCGGAGCATCAACCAAGGGGTTTGAGGATGTCGGAGGACAATTGGCGTATCAGGGGAGGATGGAATGGCAGGCCTGTGATCAGGGTGATGGGGTTTACCAGATTTACTGGGATGGTGCGTCATCGGCTGGATGCGTCCCTGTTGGGTTGTATATCAAGCCGAGTGCTTGTTAGAACTGAGGACCTGGACGCTGTTTTCATTTTGACTAGGATGGTAATTGGGGCTATGATGGGCAGTTGGCGACCATTGCGGCGAATAATTGTTGTTTAGCGAGATTAGCTACGGGTTTGCGGAAAAAATAGGAATGTGATTGCGCAGAAGCGGGGCCATTACCGAGTTCAAGTTTCTAAATTCGGACGGGAGTCTTAATCCCGGAAATGCGTGGAGGGAAGTAAATCGGTAGCAGCTCCGGTCGTCTATTTAGCCAGCCTGAAGGTGTATTCCCTACTTACCAATGCGTCCGTAAGTACAATAGCCAGGCATTCTCTACTTCCTTCCAAAAACCGCAGTGGTGGAGTCATGGCCTATCACACACACTCGGTGCGGTGGCCCCCAATCGAAATTACGGTATCTCGGTACGATATATGATACTCTATCATTTTGCATCTCTCAGCAGCCACTACCCTACCAACGCCGCAAATATATTCCTTCCTCCAACCCCTGCCACCTCTACTTCTGTCTCCTCCATCGGCCCCCTCCCCTTCTTCCGTGCATTCCGTGCCTTCCCGCCAACCTCCTTCCACACTCCCTCGCGATCCGCCTCCTTGGAATTCCTCTCCTCAGCCCCCGCACCCTCCTCCATATACTCCTCCGTATCCTTCTCATCCTCCTCCCTACCAAAATACTCGAGCAGGACCTCCCCGACTAGTGCTCTATCCCCTGCCCCTGGCCGCGCGTCGACAAAACACCTGCCATCCAGCATCTCTACTGGCAGAATGCCAAGTGCAATTTCGCTGCCAGTAGTTTCTTTGAGTACTTCGCTTAGTAAGAGGAGAGAATACCAGGCCGCCTGCAGCATTGCAAAGGTTTGGATGCGCTCCCAGGTCCAGCGGGCGCTAGCAGGTTCTTTACCGGTGGTGGGGTTATTACCGCCGGAGAGTAGACTAGCGGATGACTCTAGAATAGAGGTGTGGGGCGGGGGTTGGTTGCGTGTGGCAAACGTTTTGGCGATTTGCTGAAGGATGTATCTCGCCTGCCAATCTTTTTCCTGGGACTCGGAAATTATGGCCTGGAGTTTCCGTTTAACTTCCTTGGCAGGGAAGATCTCGACGGGCGTTCCAGAAATCCCGTGACCTCTCCTGGAGATCTCTTCCAAAGACATGTCGCCCGGGAAGAGGACGGAGTAGGCCAACACTCGTACCCCGCGACAGACGTCCCAAGCGCTTGCACGGCTCGTGTCTTCCCAGAGCACTGGTAGGAACATCTCCTTCTTCCTGCCCACGCTCCCGCGTAGAGATAGTACTTCTCCGATCCTCGGGTCGAGGAGTCTCCCGCCATCACCCTCAGGCAGTGCATACCCGGCTGCGAACTCCTGCCACTTCCAGCCCATCTCTTCCACGCTCGCGCCGCCCTTGCCCCGCTCGGCGATCTGCACGCACCGCTCCCGGAGCGCGGAGAAACTAGTGTACGGCTCGCACCGGGACAGGTACCCCAAAAACGCCAATTCCAGGCCAAACCCCTTAGCAATGTCGTCCGGACGGAACAGCACGGTCGAGATTTTCCTGGTGGAGAAATTGACTTCAAGGTCCTTTAACATGACAACCCCCCAGTCACCCCCACCCTCGCCGCGAAACAGCAGCAAGTCTGAATCGGAGGTGAGCACCACTCCGCCGGCGGCTATGGCATCTCGGGCGGCGTATCCTTCCGCCTCGCCGGGCACCGTTGACGTCCTGTCCGCGTACCCACCCCGACTTAACGCCTCGAGCGTAGCCACAACCAGGAACGGGGGTGCAGGCAACGGCGAGGATGCCGGTGCGTACACCGCCTTCTCGGAAAATACCTCTAGCCGCGCCGAGCGGTCCGCGCACCTCGGTAACGTGTGCGCGTATGAGGCGTGAAACTTGCAGAGCTTGCGCAGCAACTCCTCGAGTCTCGAGATTCGCGTGGGGCGCTTGGAAGCTGGGAGAGCTCCATCGAAGTATATCTTTGCGCTACCCGGATTATTAACCACCGCCAGCCCGCGGGGAAGAAGAACGCGGTGGGGAGGGAATACATTTTCGCCCCGCAAGATTCCAGCATGTGCAGGTATTTTATCACGCCATCCTGTAGAGCAGAGTACGAGATCGCGCTATCCCAGGGGTTCGTATCCGCCGGAGGGCTCTGTGATGCGCTCGCTCTGAGGCACTGGTCGTAGACGTAGTGCGCAAGACCGGGGCCGTCGATGAAGATTTCCGTACCGGGGTCCAGGGTTGTTGGGCTTGCGTACGGCCGAAGGTTTGTATATAGATGCCGAATTCCCATTGCTGCGGATGGGGGAAGGGAATGTTTATTGGGGGGGTGCGCTATCATACATAGCAGAGGTTTGGTGAGTAAGAGCAGGGTAACTTATCCATGAACGGTCACTCGGAGATTATGGGAGGCCTTAAATAAATCGACCACCCCACCTGCGCTAAGGTAATTTTTCCTACTTTGAGGATCCTAACCTCCAAGACATGTGCTCGGGCGCTTGCATGGTTAAAGTGCGGAGATTTGCGGAAATTACCCGTAGTTATCTCCCACACTCAAGTTTTTTTTTTTTTAAGAATGATACCGGGTTTGGGTTTCTTGGCGTGCGGGTAAATTGTCCGATTTGCGTTGGGGCGACCGGGGGCCCGGGATTTTTCGTCCAAGTATGATACCGGTTAACGTGTCAAGTGGCTATTGTGGTTGGTGTGATAGTAGCCCTCACGTTAGGCCTTTTCAAGGATAGGTCTGAACATACGGCGATTCTCCTCGAGAGGCCCGTAAGAATCAGGATAGTATCATACATATTTAACGGGAGGAAAGGGCGTAACGGGGGTAAAAAATACCTTTTGGTAAGAAGTTAAACTAACGTACTGTGGTATACTGCGGGTGTGAAATTGGGGTAGGCACAAGGTAGGTTACGTTAACTGTTGACAAGGAACCCGGCATGTCTCCAAGTTTTGTTCGATATATACATGTTTTGCTGCAAGAGTGGAGTATGGATAGAGTATGATGGGGCCGTATCTACAGGGCTTATACCTCCGGTTGCGACCCTCGATGCCGTGTGGAAACGAGAGGGGAACCCAGTTTATCCACCAACTCCAAATTCGTAGTGAACTGGCCACGTGAGCTCCCCGCCAGCCTAACTCTCCCCTCCAAAGGCACACTCAACCTTGATAACGAGCGCCCCCGCATCATCGACCTGCCTCCCGGCCATCTCAAATGCATCTTGCACATTCTCGATCCCCACCATCTTATGTGTGACAATCTTCTCCAGAGCGGGAATCTGGCCGGAAGAAATAATCTCAATTCCCTCCTTGTAAGTATTAGCATACCTAAACCCACCGAGGATATCCACTTCTCTCAATGCTGCGGCAGAGATCGGCAGGGTCTGAACAGGATTCCCCATGCCCAAGAGTATCAAGCTTCCCCCAGATCTGGTAGCATAGATCCCGGTCTGCGTGCAAATCTCCATTCCAGTGCACTCGAACGTGACATCGAACCCCTCCTCCCTACCCAGCGTTGTTTTCGCCGCCTTCGCAGAGTCCTTGGCCATGTCCAATTTCTCCTCCACCGTTTCCGGACGTTTTTGCCGGATAGTCGGACGATGCACTTGCGTCGCGAATCCATTCTCCACAGCGAAGGATGTACGTCCGGTGTTTATGTCCGATATCACGATCTTTGTAGCACCGCTAAGTTTGCACATTGTCGCGACTAGGAGGCCGACCGCGCCGGCGCCCAAGATCAGGATTGAGCTGCTGGGGCCAAGGGTTCCGAGTTTGCGGACCCGACGGGTTGCGTGGATTGCGACGGAGAGGGGCTCCAGAAGGGCGGCTGCTGTGAATGAGACGTTTTCCGGGACTCTGTGCACTTTGTTAGTTACTCGGAGCGAGGTGGGGGGAAATGGAGGAAGAGGTACTTATGGCACCACCTCGCTGGATGATTAATCCTTTCCTGGAGGGTTCCCCAGTAGTGGGGGTCCGACTTGGCACTACCCCTGAACTTCAGCCCCGAGCAGATATTGTACCGACCAGAACTACATCCCTCACACTCGCCACACGGAACGCCAACCTCCAACGCAACTCGATCCCCGACACTCCATTTCTCCCTCACATACTCTCCTACCGCTGTCACAACACCGGAAGACTCATGTCCGAGGGTCAAGGGAGCTTTGACAATTATATCCCCGTTGCGGTAGTGATTGTAATAGTGCAGGTCAGAACCGCAGAGAGTTGTAGAACGGATCGCAATTTGTAGCTCGGTTGGGGATGGCGGGGGTAGGGAGATGCTGGTTCGTTCAAGGGTTTTTGCCGCGGTGAGTAGCGAGATTTGGACCTTCCCTTCATTAGAGGTAGACATCTTGACTGTTATTTTTTTTAAAGTTTTATCGTGATGAGGTTGGGGTGGTGGGAGGGTGTGGTGATTATGTGTCGTGGCCGAACAAATTGCGGGAGAAAGGATTCCGAAGGTAATGAACTACTTGTACGTCGGCCAAGAGAAGGGTTCCATTGTTAGACTACCGGTATGTGCATTGTGTCACGTGATACCGCCTCGAAAGATGTCAGCAAGCGTCCCGGTTTCAAAGCTGTGATCCCGCCCACGACGGAATCTGAGGACATCTCGAATCATTTGGAGACATTCTTAATCTTTTAAATTGTGACCAATTCGAAAAATATTTCCGTGATAGGGCAGGGGCATAAAAATTTAATAAGGTGGGTCTTCTCCCTTGTTTCCGGGATCCCCCACCTAAGGTTAGATCGTGCAGCACCTTGGAAAACCAGGGAGGATAAGACCGAGTTCCGAACTTGATGGAGAAGGGTTACGGGGTCGGGCCTGTAGAAATGGGCATTAATTCAAGATGTTATTATGCTTTAGAAGTAGAGAGATTGACTAGTGGATAATAGGGACGTCTGGAGGGTGCAGCTCGGGGGCGCGAGGCAAGCTAAAAAGAGGAGTTCTCGACGCGTTGACTAGATAGGTGGGAGAAACACAAAATCCCCTCTTAGTGTTCACTGTTTCCCTGTATCTGGAGATTTGTGATCTTTTGCAGGGTACTATATTTAGTGCGGACCACGAAATAACAATTGATTATCCATATGGGCCATGGGATGAATGCGTTACTCTGGATCGCCGCGGCGCAGCATTGCACCCCACATTGACCCCCAATAATTCTAGAGTAGAGATGTATCTCACAAAAAGCCCGTCAATCTATTGATCTAACCTATCTCCCCATCCACCCACCATCAACAACCAGGCACTCCCCGCTAACATACCCACTCGCCTTCTCACTCGCCAAGAACACAACGGGCCCCTTAAAGTCCTCCGGACGCCCCCACCTCCCAGCGGGAATCCTCTCCATAATCTGCCTATTCCTTGTTTCGTCCTTCATCAATGCCTCATTCATCTCCGTAGCAATATACCCAGGAGCAATCGCATTGACGCCAATCCCTTTTCCAGCCCACTCGTTACTGAGCGCCTTTGTGAGTTGTAGGACGGCACCTTTGCTCGCAGCGTATGCGGAAACAGTAAGTCCCCCTTGGAATGAGAGTAGGGACGCCACGTTTATGATTCTCCCGTGTATCTGGTTGCCTATGAAGTAGGCCCCTATGTCACGGCAGATGGTGAACACGGTTGCCAGGTTGACCTGGATGACTGCTTGAAAGTCCTTTGTGGGGAATTGGTGGGATGGGTGACGGCGTTGGATTCCGGCGCAGTTTAGAAGGATGTCAATCCGCTGATTGGGGAGGGATGAGGGGTCTGCGACCAGGCCCGGGACCAAAGCGCTAACTTCCGCGTCAGAGGATAGGTCTGCATTGACGATAGTGCAAGCACGTCCCATGGCGGCGATTTGTGCTTTTGTAGAGATGTTTTTGGAGTCCCGCTTTTTTCACCACCGATTAACAAACTGGGCCGATGGAGTGGGGGGGAGATTGGAGTACCTGAACAAGAATAATATCCGCCCCAGCTTCGGCCAGTGCTAGAGCCATCGTTTGGCCGATGCCGCGGGATCCGCCGGTGACCAGGGCGGTTTTTCCGGAGAGATCAAACATGGATGGCATTTGCTCCTTCTTGCTTTCTGGTGCGCTTGGTTTCGTTCGGTGAGATGGTGTGTGGGGGGGATGAAGGTGAGGAAGTTGTGTGGGAAGGTTTGCCAAGCTTTTGACCTGTAGAGCTAGGGCCGATCTCCCGGGAATAGCCGATTGGAAAAAAAAGGGTATGATGTCATTATGCTATGATCACAGGGGTTCAGAGGGTCAAGGGTTCGAAAATTGTCACGTGATAAAAGATTTTCGGCTCATTTACCGGCGCGGGAGTGTCTCGGTTGACTTCCGGGGGCCGGCAAAGGCTTTTATGATACCTGAAAGGGGAAGCGGCTGAGGTGAGACTTGCATTACACTAAAACCATGGGCATGAAATGTTCATGGCGGCTTTAAAGAGTAAGGATCTTGCATTTCCCTGCGATGTGGAGACAAAGCAGGGATGAAAAATCTCATTTGAGAGCACCAGCGCCTGCCGGTTCTCGCCAGATATTGCGGTATCGTAGGATAAGGTACCGGTAATTGATAATAGACTTGGCTGACGGCTGTATACTCGAGTAATGCGACCACATGCGACCAAAACCTATGCCTTCCGCTAAAAGTCATTCTTGGAATAAACTGTGAATTTCGTCATTGGGAACCCATTCCACTCGTAGTGAATATCCAAACTCCACAGCAGAGACGCCACAAACGGAGACGCGACAGGACGCCGGAATTGCACATTGTAGAGATTGAGCTTCTAACTTCCGTCCGAGCGGAGAACTGGCTGTCAGTGTTCGGGCCGTGAGCCCGCGATTTAAGCTTTTGGAGTTTCCCGTACACATTAACTTGTCTCTGGACGCGCGCACCGGAGACACTGGCGTATACTCCTTTCATGGCCCACACTACCCCCGAGCTGTTGGTAACTATCTCCCGTAAGCGGTAGAATAGCGCCTGCCGTGATAACAAGGTAAGGGATACACTGTAGTCCGGAACACTAACCTGTTCAGGAGATCATGGCTACATCTACAGTACTGCAAGTACTACTGCAGCTCTGCTTTTAGTTGTTTCTGTTATTCCGAGTACAGTCATGATGAACCGTACTTGTACCGTTACATAGTTTGCCGTTTTCTGAGCCTTGGATACCCATCATCGAGATAATTGAGAACAAAGCAAGGGATTGTAGCCAAGTTAACTTCTCAAGTACCGGTGCTTGAGTACCGTATAGGGGGCGCGCCACCGAACCAGCGTTAGCCACGTTGCCCCCTCGCGTAGGCGAGTAAGGAAATTCCAACGTCCTACCACATTTATCTTCTGTTTGACTTTTTACCGCACTGGAATCCACATGTTCGGGTGTCAGCCCCCCCAACCCGCAACTATGCCAACTTTCACGGTATAGGGGAGAGCGTGCGGAACCTTCCAATAATATGAGAATCGATAGGTCTGAACAGGGCAATTAAGGGTTCGTCAACCCGAGATAACTCACATCCATAATATGATACTCATACGAGGTCAGCAGGGCCGCCGTTGGAAAATGTGGTCAACTGAAAGGGGAACAGGGCATCCTTTTTTTATACGCTTTTGCAAATGGGAGGAGATTTATCCTTGGTGCGGGAGAGACAAAATTTCTTGTAGTCTCTGGCTCCGGACCCTAGATGCAAAATACAGACCTATCGTGGGTATTGGGACAGCCGGGAAAGTGTCGGATCCTATGACACTCTTAAGATGAGCATCCCGACCAGGACCACACCGAGGCAGAGGGGTGTGCGTTACGGGAATGGGGCTGCCTCGCGCGACGTGGTTTCCTTCCGAACTGACCAATGGGAATCTGTTAAATTCATTTGAGCACTGGAATCGGTCAGTTTGTTGGCTATGACTCGGTAGTCACGGATCATAGTTAAACTACTGTACTGTGCTTGAGCACAAGTACTCCACGTGGTGCCAAGCGCCCCTGTAAACAAAGTATATGGCGTCACCATCTCTTGTTGAATGCTTGGCTTACGGGTGAATTCCCCATTCCTCCGGCCCATGCCCGCCATACCGGACCGCTCTTTGTAGAGACAACAGAGGCACCCGATTCATGGTCTACCAAAGAGTTAATATCCGCTCTGACCAGGGGCCATCTAGGCCCCATATCGCTGGCTCATCGGCAGAAGGTACTGCACCTACACGCACACTAGAGTAGTGTAGACCTTTCTGCATGGCCAACACCTCGACACTTTCTGCATCGTAAATGGAATATAAAAGGCCCGAGGTCTGCAAATTCCGGTCTGCTAAGTTGCTCGAGCTCCCGGGAGTGGGGGTGGACACACCCCCGCGCGCACCCGCGACAACGAATGAACACCCACATCCCCGGACAACCATGCACGCCTGCGCCCGACTAGTCGATACGATGCTCGTTTCCTGGTAGAAAGTGCTTAGGGTGGCGTCGAATTTTTTTTCTCAATCTCGCTTAACCTGAGTCTCTATCTACTCCGTACAGGGAACAGGTAAACTTGGCACCGGTACGGTAGCATGCGATGCTACGAAATGCATGCAAGCATAAATAACCGTGCTTATGGCATAATCCCTGCACAGGATTAAGGCTGCTTTAAATGCTATAGGGTTCAGGTTGTTGGATAACAGTCCAAAACCTGGAAGCATGTTAAATATCGAAATTACCAGTAGGTAGTTGCTGCTCTTGCGGGTTGATTTTCTACTCCGGTGCCGAGTTGAGGGGAGCGAGACCGTACTATGTTGGCCTATTTCAGCTTAGGCAATCATCCGGAGCGGTTACCTTCGTCACCCGCTAGCATTCGGAAATTTCTGTGGCTTTGCCCCCGGGAAACCACCGAATGGAGTTAGACGAATCGCCAAGGCCGTATACATAAGGCAATTCTTGAACAGGATGGACAGAGTTATGGACAAGGCCAACCGTAGCGCCACTGGAGCTGGTGCACCGGGCTTTCGGATTGGTGTTTCTTTTCGGCACAGTGTGCTGACTAACCTTGAGCACGGGGGGCGGGGGTTGTTAACACGGATTCATTAATGGAATTTGTGAAGTATATAGGGCAAGTGTTTGAATATCGGTATGTTCACTTCTAATCAGGAGTAACAAATGGGAGATAATGAATGAGCGTAGATTGAGATCATCTTAAAGAGAGGTATCTGGTTGTGTGATGATTGATCTGAAATGATGAGCAGAGTGGAGGGCCTTTAGGGCAAAAATTGAGAAAGAAATGAGAGGGAAAAGAGTGTAAAATGAAAGGAAAGAAATCCCCCATCATCCCGGTTCTTCAAACAACACGAATTCAAATCCGGTATACATGGTATCCATTCGCTAACATGTGCCTTCCAAATACAGCAGCCCTATGGCTTCTGGAAGCATTGAAGGATCGCGGCGAGAACGGCTCCGGCTAGAGGTTGTTTCGACAGAATTCATGGCGCGGGCCCGTGAATGCTTGCGGAATCTGGGGAAGGCCTACAGGCTCACGCAGGAATCCAAGAGAATCCAAGCATAGTACTTTAATCAGTTCCCTTCAGTCAGCAACAATCTTGCTATGGCCTCCGAGGGGAAAAGAGCAGAACGACTACTCACCCCCGTACTATCACCAGTCCACCTGGCAACAGACATCCCCTCCCAAATCGCCACCTTCTGAGCTACCAACTCCTCCCTAATCCCCATGTTCCTAGCACGCAATTCGAATCCGGCCCTCAATCTCTTCTGTTCTCTCATCCTCCGTGCCCTCACCTTGTTCGCCTCACGCTTACGGCGTGCTGGGGTAGCTAGGTTGAATTTTTTATTAGCTCCGCAGAGATGGGTTTACTGAAACGGGGGTCCGTACCTCCTGCAGCTTCAAGCCGGTCGAGTTCGGCCTTGTGGAGTTGCAGCCATGCCTCTTCATCCCCACCAGTGCACCGGAAGTTCTTAGGGTTCTTGATATGTCTCCAGAGGTACCCATCGGGTGCTCCCGGCTTGAGAACAAAGGAGCAATTCGGGACAGGACAGGCGAGTCTAGATATGCTGACATTGGCGGCAGCAGGGTTGGGCAGGGCTCCTGAGACATATGAGGGAGTGGGATTTTGGGGGATGGTCTCTCCATCCTCCCCACGCGTGGCGGTCGGTACGTAACGTTTGGGCATTCTTTCTAGAGAATAACGGGATCTAATCACAGGGTTGGAATTCTGCTGCCTCGTGGAGAGATGTACTTTGTAACTTTGTTTGGAGGTGGAAGTGGATTTGGAATGCGAGTCGGTATACCGGTCACGGTGGGGGATAACGAGGGAATCCTGAGCGGGTTAGGAATATAGCATGGGGGGTGTGGATATGGGGGTCCCTACTTACTTCGAGAGTTGCGTCGCGGTAGCGGCTCCTTCTGAATATCTCTAACGGATGTGTAGGTCGAGTGTGGGCGAGGACATCGAAGAAATTGGCCGAGAGGAAGATGAGTTTTATATCGCAGCTACTGCATGTACGGTACCTACCTATGGGCTCCTAAGTTATCACTTAGCCCCCCCCCCGAATCGCTTCTCTCAGCTCTCGCGAAAATTTGCACCCTCCACTCATGGAGAACGCAGTTGAGCAAAGCCCTGTATTGTAGTTTTAATATATTTCATGCCTAAAACAATTGAAATCTAGAAAAGCAAACTAATCAGGTTGAGGCCCCACGAGACGCTTGCTCTATCTACCGGATTGATGCGGTTTGGTTGGAGACAACAACAAAACATCCGAAAAAGCAAAAGATAGAAAGTTTTCACCCCTAGGAACCATGGCCCAACTTGAGATCTACCAACCAAGAATCCAAGGTGCTTTATTTATACAACCAGAGGGGAGCCAGCCAAAACTGAAAGCGTGGATTATCCTCGATGCTAATAAAGCCTTAGCGAGTGGCAGCCCCTGGAACAACACAATTCCCTACCAGAACCCTGTGATATGCATCGTATGCAGATAGGTACTGAGTTTTCCACGAGGCAATGGAGCAGGTGAAAGAAATTTTTTACTTCCTTCATCGAGTTCAAGATCCACCGCGATTTCCTGAGGCTCTGTCCGGGATGGTCAAGGGGAGTCGACGGGGGCGGTGCAGCGGTTGTCAATGTTTCTGTACAGTACAACGGTCACCAGGTATGTTGCTCGGACTCTCGTACTTGCTTGATGACTTGTTTAGATGTCAGCCTGGGCGAGTTAGCCTCATTTTCTTGTGGCCTCCCCAAGCTCACGCCTCTTGGCGGAGCATTGCATGAAGCGTAGCGTATCCAATTGGACTGATGAGACATGCGGGTTACCAAACTTGGGCAGCTTATCCGGTGAGCCCACCCTCCTGCGGGGTAACTTTTCGGCAAGAGACTCACGCATCTAGTCTCTCATCAAGCTAGCCTGGCAAAGACGCTGGACCACAACACGCCTATCAGCTAATTGATTGGGGTGTGAGCGATTCCGGGTTTCTGTGGGTGCAACGAAGCGGGTATGTGTGGCAAACCGATCAGGAACCGCTACGGTTTTGCGCACCACTTTTAACAGCGTGAATTAGGGCTCCCCGCACCTCTCCGAGGAAAACGCGCCGATCCTAACACGGGTATCTGTACACTCTGTCAGATTGCTGGTAGGGGGATGGAAGCCAAATCACACCGGCGAGTGGGTTTTCGAGCTACAGCAATTCCACGGGTTCCCCCGAATACCCGTAGGGTCCCTGGGGGGGATTTGTTCCTATTTTCGAGCCTTATGTATCTCCCGCACCGCTGGAGCGCTCGAAAATCTGCTGCCTATGTCGTTGTCAGAGACATAGGTTAGTAAGCAACTTTTGTTGGTTACTACTACTCGGAGAAATTGGAAGGCATGCAAACTTCGTAATATCTTATGACACGACCTACGCCTACAATCATCATTGAAGAATGCTGAGGTGGAGTTTAGTCTACCAGTACTTGTACGAGTACTCGGGTACAAGGGTAGGTGATGCCCGGTGGTACGGTGTCCGAGCCCACCCAAGCTTGTTGGGTTCGGCCAATGCACTTTGATAGTGCAACTCCTAAAAACAGGCGCTTATATTTTCTACCTCTGCTTTTCTCCATTCAAAAAAATACCCTGCTGGCAGGGCTGAGGATCCACTTTTGTCCTCGTAAAGTACAATACTGTGAGAGTAAGGTACTTGTATTATCATAGCCTCTCCCTAACTCTGTCTGTCGCACAATAACCGGCTGCCAGATCTGCGTATTTCCAGACTTACGGCACCCCTGAGCACAGGGGATAAGGTATGATACCGGTACAGTCGAACCTCGCTATAATAGATCGTTTTATACGGAAGCATCGCTATTATGAACGAACCATCCGTGAATTTACCCCCCTGCTCCCATACAAACGGTTCCCACTATAAGGGATTTCGTTCAAAACCTCGCTATGGTGGGCGAAAAATCCGGAACTCTTGGAATTTGTTATAGTGAGGTGCGGCTGTACCGTACTCGCACATGAGGCGGTCGGAATTTGGGGTCTTCGGGCAAGTGTCAATTGTCTCCCCTGAAGGCGAGAGCTCCGGCTCGGGGAAAGCATTAGACACGTGAGCAGGTGGAATAATCTGGAAGAATTCGTTTTCCTACCGGTAGTTCGTTTGCAGCAATGATTTTTTTCTCCCCTCGCTTTCCGTTCATAATACTTTCATGAACTCTCACTGAATTTTCTACTCGCCTATGGAGTGGCCCGGGACTTACCACCTCACCCAGGTGGGGGGCAGGGATAATTTGCGGACGTCGATACACTCAGGGACAACAAACGCAATAACCAAAAGTTCGGGCGCGGTCGGTTGGCAGCTGGGAAAATCAGAATATGCCAATTATTTTTATAAAATGTGACCGAGTTGAATCTTTCTGCGCACTTGGAAGCTGTTTGTCGGTTCGGTATTGCGATCTCAATTGTCCTGCTTACATTTCTCTTCATAGGCAAGTCTTCGCCCTTATATACATCCAGGAACTCCCTTCATTTCTTACATCAACCTCCCCTGGTTCCCATCACTTCATATTGTGTGATCAGCCATACCCCGCTTTCCCTTTCTTTTTTCTTCTCTCGATTTCTCCCATCATCGCATTTACCCGGTGGCTCCTCCGGTCGATGATTCCTCTTCCACCAGATGCCCCATGGCTTGACTTTACTTCCAATCATCCCTTTCTCTACATTTATCCATAGCATGCGCGAGAACATTCCACCTCTCGTATAAATCCAAGTATAAACATGACAGATGAAAGAGCGAAGATTCTAGTATCTCCGGACAAGGTTCCGGTAATTCTCTTAACTTCGCCGAGGTGTGAGGTTGGTCTGGTGATCGATTGGAGTGCCGGTGATTTACAACAATTATCACCTTTGAAACGTTCACATAATTCCTTCTCTAACAACTAGCCGGCGTGTGCATATGGCCTATGAGCTTCGGTTCCGTCCCTCCGAAGTCTTGCGCACGGACTAAAAAAAAACCATGGTATCATACCCGAACCCTGCGATCGCCGTAACACGTGGTGAATCTTCTTGGCGTGATGAAATCTGTCTCTTGGCTTGCAGGTGGCTTGCAGGTGGGTAAACCTTTTGGATACCATGCTCTTGGCAGAAAAACCTTTCGGATACCATCGACCGGCAAAACATACCATCGAAAAAGTGAAACCTTTGTACTCGTACGCAATTATTTTCCTTGCCAAGAACTCTAAGAAGATTGCTAGACACCTTCAGTATTACCTAGTTCATCTTAAAAAGTTGGGGAGAAATTTTTAAAAAATACTAGCAGAGTGTGAG